TAATGCTGCAGCGATCGATCAGTATTGGCGACTTTGGGATTTAGAGAAACAAAGCAACTAGCCTGAGAAGACAAAAATAATCTGTAATTGTTATCAATATGCCGATTTCCAGTGATAATATCACAGTTAGATCTTTTCCTTATGTCATTTGAAAACAGTTTTTTTAGGTCTTGTGATCTTTCTTTGTCTGGTTGCCACATTTTTTTTTACCTCTGAATTACAAGCTTTTGTTTTGCATCATCATCTTTGTTTCACAACTGGCTACATCTGGCTTTCAGCAAAGCATTTTTGCTTTGACGCAAAACTCAAAAGACAAATGGATTGATTCATGAGAAAGCTTAGTTGTAAAGTTGAAATCATTGCCCTTTCACACTCACGCATACAAGAAAGTTTCTTTGCATCAAATCAAAGGCAAGTATACCACACTCTCAAGCACACTCTTGCATGTCCAAGCATACTTCATGGCATTGTGAGCCAACATTGAACCAGCGATCCTTGGCTGTGAAAGGGTTAACAGCGGTCACGATCTATCCATCACTGCAGACCAGCGCTCAATTATTCAACAAGCTGAGATCCAGTTTCATCACCTGCCAATACTACTGCCAGCAGCCGCTGGAAGAGGAATATAGACAGTGTGTATTTGTAGCTGCACACAAATGAATCATTTAGGGCAATGTGTTCTTATTCTGCTTGATTTCACATTTTAGCCTCAAACTGGCTCCACTGAGCTGCATAGATGCACATATAACCACATGCAAGCAGAAGGTTGTTGACGCTTCTGTTTGCAGTAAACATTCGATTTAGATCAGTTAAAGCAGCCACTAATTAATAAGTGTCAATTCAAGGACAGATTTTGTGCTTTTCAAAGGATCTAGATTCCAGTTTAATGCTAATTTAATCTGAATCAGCTCAGTTCATCCAGTCCAGTCAGAAAGTGAGATTTAGATCTAATCAGTTGCCTTCAGTTTATGACGTAATGCAAGCTGGTAAATTATACAACTGCATGAATACGTGGCACAAAATGATAGCAGGATGGGACGAAACGCCAAGACCTTGGTACTAAATGAGGCTGCGGACTGGTGAAGGGACGTTGTCAACAAATTAGCATAAAAGAAAAACATACTGTCTACAATTTTAAGATATTCAAGATAAATGAAAAACAGCATTGTATGTCTGTGGTGGTCTCCCCCACATGTTCTCCCTCAGATTTATGGAAACAAAGGCTGATTGTGGCAGGACACTGAGGAGTTCATGGAATAGCACTGCTTCCATTGACCGCACATCCTCTCACTGAGACACAGCTGGGACACTGGGGTCAGCACACGTAGGTGTGCATTGTTGGAAATAAAACATTAGTTTTGTAGTGGGCGTGAAATATTCCATATACTGTAGTTTTCTCAACAGCAAAGCAGCTGGATTCATGAACAGATGTTCCATATGAGCTTGTTTTTTATCTGTGATGCAACTTTTTTTTTTTTGTTTCCAGCAGCTCCTGCTGTCTCTCCTCCCATGTGGGACTTTGTTTTGAAAAGTGTCCGCTGGTGATAACCCAAAGCTCTCCCCACGTGACACGAGGGCTTGCTGACAAAGGAGGAAAACTTTACATGTCATTTTTCTTCCCGTAGTCAAAATATTTCTCTCGCAGAATCTGTTTTCAACAGGCAGAGCTCACACAAACACAGCAGCCTCGTTCTGCAACACTTCTTCTTGTTTAGAAAAGCTTCTCCTGGAACTTGAGCCTCTTTGGTTGACTCTCTAAGTCGTCAAAATCATTAGTGCCGTTTGTCTCGCTGCTTCAAGTTGATCTATTTTTTCTCGACAAACAGTTTTGTGTAATCACAACACAAAGCAGTCGCCTCTTTGCAGCGTTCTTCACGTCTTGAAATGTTTCAGACAATCAGACAAACACGACCTGAGTAAAAGTAAAATCAGCTTTTGAATGATGTTTCCACACCAACCTGGCCCAGTTTAAACTGTCATTTAAATGGGCCACCAAGAAATGACAACAATGAATATCAAACATTTATGTTAAGTAATGAGTCATTTGTATCACTGGAAAGGAATTATAGCCCAATTTTATTTACAGAACTGTTTTAATTAAGCTGCAGAAATGATATCTTTAAGGTCACAAAAATAAGCATCACAATTGGATTCAAGCTTGGACTTTCACTAGGCCACTCAAAACGTTATTTTTGTTACATTTGAATCAACCAGATTTGGACTTGCTAGGTGAGGCTTTAGCCCACATGTTAAGGCCTCCGACTGCTGGATAAACTCTTGATTCCATCAATTGTGGCAAGTTATCCAGGTCTGAAAGCACCAAAGTAGCCCATCCTGATACTTCAACTCTGACTATTACTGTGGTGTTCTTTTTCTAAACATACAACTTCCAAAGAGTTCAAGTTTTGTCTTATTATTTAACAAAATATTTTGCTGAAAGTGTTTGGGTTTTTCAAAATGATTTTTTTTTTTTTGGCATACCTGAAGACATGCAAGACTTTAAATGTTGTTCTGGGTTCCTCTGTGACACTCTCGATGATATGGCGATCTTTTGGTCTACTTTGTGTCGTCTGATGGGTTCTATTTAAGTGATCTTTCGATTCTCCCAGTTAGGATGTATTCTGGCCCGGCTGTGGCTGGTGAAACTGCTCCAGACGTTTGGTTAATGCGCTAAATCACTGACGTGTGACCACAAGCAAAGTCCGAAATCTGCAATGGGGCAAATACGTCTGCACAGCACTGCATGTCAGGGGCAATCAGGTCTCCACCTGAGCTGATTTTGTGGAGCTCAAGCCGACAATAGAAGAAAAACAACAAAAGCGAAGTGTAACCTCACACTGTGACAAGCTCAGAGTCTGTGAGATGGCACAGGCCCCACAGGGGTGATTAGTGGGGTTGAGCTCAGCATTGAAAGGCAGTCAGAGGTTAAACTGGCAGACACTCACGTCTCCCCGCATAATGACTCCCAGCTGTGTTGCTCTCAGTGTTTACATTAGAGCTCCACTTTTCCTCACCAGCGTGTCTTACTGGAAACCTCGGTCATCTTCACTTCTCTTCGTGAACCACCTCTCTCTCTTTTCCTCTTTCTCTTTTTCTCTCCCTCTCTTTCTGCTTATCTGTTTATCTGTCTGCTGTCTTTCTTTGGCCTCTGCGTGATCTTTTCATTTCTTCAACTCTCATTCTCAACCCTCTCACTGCGTCTAATTTTCCAACCCTCCCACACACTCGACTCTCTCCACTTTCTTGCTTATTGGCTTCCCGCTCTCACTCGTTTTCTGTTTTTTTTTTCCTCCATCAACCAGATCCCAGAATACTAATACATTTGATTTTGGGGAGAGGGGGGAATACATTTTTTTTTCACCCTTACAGCCCAACCTGAGCACTTCTTCTGCAGCCAGGAAACAGAGGATGTGCAGGGACTCCTGGGAGAATAAATTGATTTAGATTTTTCTGTTGTCTTCCTCCATTTCAGGGCAATCTTCCCAGATCCCTGCTTCCCAAAAGTATTTGATGCCTGAAACAAATTAGAATGTTTCTGAATGTCTTTCCTGTAATGAAGAACTGTAGTGGTAGTATCTCAATTGTTTTTTTGGTAAGTGCCATGAGTTTATGCCAACGTAAAGTCATTGATGATAAATTCAACACTATTTTCACCCACTATCTCTCTTGTTAGCATGTTCCTCTGCCTTCGTATCTGTTTATTTTCTCTCAGTCGGCCTACATATATATTTTTAGCCTTCACAAGCTGCAGTCCAGAGCAAGCTTCACATATGCTCCAAAATATATATATATATTGTAACGTCATAAAATATAAAATCTGCACACTTCATCTGCGCTGTCCTGTTCATGTGAAGTGTTACAGGAACCTGTGTGTTGCACCTTTGTGTTAATATGAGCTGAGGTTACAGAGCCCACCTCCCCCTTCCCTCATGCCACATTTCATGCCCTGCTGTGTAGGTGGTAAATCAGCATGATTATGTCGAAGAGCTTCAGGCACAATTAATCCGACTCTGTAAATGTCGTCACCCAAGCTGCCAGAGCTGGTAGCGATATGCTGCAAATGGAAAGTTCCTCACATTATGAAAAAACTTTCATAAAACCCAGCAACTAAATGGACATCTTGCATGAAACTGTCTATACGCAGTCACAAAAGCAAATCAAAAATATGTTACCTGAAAATCACTACGGGAATTGCTTACTTGGACTTGCACCTTCGTTTTACGTAAATTGCACTAATTAAGCATTAAAGACATTAATCCATTATCATATTTTTTTATTATTTATTGTGAGAAATTTCTCATCATAATAAAAAATGTACATATATTTATTATTGTTACAATAAATCCCGTTGCCTGTATTATATTTATTATGTTTTTAAAGAGAAGATTCTGTGTTTGTGTGGCTGTGGTTGTTGTTTAATGCAGCCATAGTTACCTACAAAATAATTAATTATATTGTAATTATTGATTCTTATATCAATTTTAATCATTATCATAATGGCACCACAAAATATTTTTGATAAAACGTATAAGTGTGTTAAGTTCCTCTACTTCAGAGGAACAACATTTTGCAAACAGCATTCATTTCTAGCAATGTTTCCCTTAAGCCTCATTTAATGTCTAGGTAAGAAAAAAATACATTTGTTTGCAAATATCTCTGCTGTTTTCTCCTAACCATTTTCTCCCTAATACAGAGCATGTTTACCACAGAGAGGCTGGCTCCGGAGCTTTTTAACTGTGGCTCCGCTGTGGTTTTGCTCTGAATCAACATGGTTGTATTAGTTGAGTGATGTATTAAAGTTACAGATGTAAAAGCATTCGTCAGAGTGGCAGGAGTGGCAAAAACATTATGATGCATTTCGGTCTAACTACACAGATAAATACACATAGAAAGTGACCACAGATTCAGCCATCAATGTTTTATAGCTTTTATTTTTAAAAAAATAAATAAATGTGTTGATCGGCATGGGAAACTAATTTAACCTCAAACATTTCTCCCAGGAGGCCTCAACAGAAGTGGAGATTCAGTCTCAGCCTCAGGACCAGTCCCCCCACCAGGTCGACCCGTCTGAGCTCGCTCCACGTCTGTGTCACCTGACTCGGTCAGCGGGGGGCTATGGCTTCAACCTGCACAGTGACCGGTCACGCCCCGGTCAGTACATCCGCTCCCTGGACCCGGGATCGCCCGCCGAGCGTGCCGGACTGCGACCGCAAGACAGACTAGTTGAGGTAGGAGGGAGAAGCGTGAAGTGAGCGGCTGTATCAGTATGAGTGGATTATAAGACGCAGCTGATGGTGTCAGTGGCTCGTAATGCTTTCCAGCTGCTATTTACTCATGTTTGTTCACAGTTGAGGGAAAGAAAACGACATTGAAAGATTTGACGGAGGAATTATAGTGCCATATCCCTCTATCAAACACCATAAGAATTATTACAAAGCAATTCATGATGGTGAAGTTAAAAAAAAAACAATGCATAGTTCTCAAATAAAAAAAAAAAAAAAGAAATCTGTATATGTGTATTTAGCTCCACTGACTCGACCACCTTTCACTACCACGGTGTGTCTCCACCGTCTTTCCAGCAAAGATGGAAAATGAATCTTAGTCAGATTCTGCAAAATGTATATTTTAAAGGCGCTACAGTTTCCGAAATGGATTTGGGCAGAATATGTTTCTCATCTAAGTTATTCCATCTCTGGGTCTATGTTTGTTCTGCTGGAAGCCAAACGTCTGCTTCAAGTCTTTTGTAGCTTTTTTGCTGGAGAAAATCATCCTCACAGAATAATTCACCATGGCATTCACCACTGTTAGCTTCAGCATTTTTCTTATAGAGTATAAAGTTCAGTTGTGGTCTTTTGTGGCAAGCTGCAAACAGGACTTTCTTCTTGCCTCTCTTCAATAACGGACTGCAGTGTAGAGCTCCTGCAGACTGCCGTCTTCTTATTATTGCTCTTCTTAATGTTTTATTAAGTTTAACGCTGCTTTAAACTTTTTCAAAAATTGGTCCCTGACCGGGCTGACTGTTTATAATAGTTTCTCCTCTTGACAACTACTTACTTTGTTTAATCTTATGCAATACTCATAACATACATTAAAGATAGAGGTTGTGAAGTGACCAAAAGAAGAAAAGTTCTGGGATTGTAAATACTTTTGCAGAGCACTGTTAATAACTTCTTTAGTGTTCAACTTTTAAACCAGATTTAGTTTGTGATTTTTATTAAGTGTCCTTACAGGAAGCTGGGTTGTGTGTGAAAGTGAAAAAAATCCCCCACAGCAGAGATGATATGCTGAGAGAACGATGTTGAACAAAACACACTCAGCAAGAATTGTGAGCACAAATGCTCTTGACTGACTGGAAACCATAGATAACAGGATAATTACTTGCTAATGACACTGAGTTTAACTGGTTTTGTGCTGTAAAATAGGATAATTGTTAGACTGTGAGATAATCCCATGAGTACTGCGGTCCCGTACCTCTCGTAAGCGATGTTTCTCTCTGTGAACTCCCGGTTTTTGCATGTGGCATAATTTGCACAGAACTTTTCATTCCTGTAAATAAATAACTTTTCACAAGGATGTTGTTTGACTCGCTTTCCATGTTAGACAAAAGATACTTATTCTAGAAGTGAAAGATTTTTGACTGTCATTTGTCTAAAAAAAAAGAAAATAGATCACTGTTGCACCTCTGTCGAAAATGCTTAACAGTTTAATTTAGAAAAAGAAAGATGACGATGGGATAGAAATGACTCTTATGTTTATGTCACACAGGCAACTACAACGTCATAAAACATTCAAATTCTATAATTGCAAAAATCTGTGAAACTTGATCACTTTCGCATCTGAGTGTAAACATATTTGGAGTAAACACACCCTTCATTCCCACGGCCTTTGAGCTTCCCAGGCCAAACATCAGGATCCAAGATCACACATGATACTGACATGCTCTAACAGTAAAGTACAAAAGAATAACTACATTTAATTCACTGTCTATGGGAGCATACATGCAGACGTGTTTTTTGTATTTTACTATTTCTGATGGATTTTTCTCCTGTAAGGCGGCTTGTCACCCGATCTGATGGCTGTTTCTCAAATTAAAACTTTCTGATGCTGTGCCGTGTTTAACTGAAATAATTTGTGCAGCAAAACTGCGACTCTTGAGACGATCTGTTCTTCATATTAATATACGTGTTGGAATCAGAGGAGATCTAAGCTGTGCAGCTTCACTTGAACGTTAGCTAGCTGGAGAAAATCTGTGGGAACATCCTGTAGCAGGTCACCAATGGCAGCAAATGTTCACTTCTCTTAACAGGTTTCCATTTAGAAATAAAATATGGTGCAACAAGTTATGACCAGCTGCTTAATGTTGCGTAGACTCAAAACACAAGCTCCTCTACAAGTTTGTTTCTTGAATGTCTGGGAAGTTACAAGATCAGTCATTCATAATTGACCTTATAAAGAGCAGAGCTCACAGATCCTCAGTTTGTCAGGGCTCAGTGGCTTTCATAAGCTCAGTCACTCTCTGAAACTTGTTGTGCATCACTGAGTTTGTCTGAACTTTGTGGGCTCTTGAAAACAGCGTATGAAGCTGTCCTGGAATGCAATTACCCAGCATTGCTAAAGTAATAAAGTAAATTACTAAAGTAAGATGCATTAAAAGCAGCCCATACAGCTTTGTCCTCTAACTTAGGTTTGCAACTTTTTCAGCAGATTGAGGCGACACAGAGACTCCCCATGTGCACCGTGAATGTTTGAGCAATGATCAGTCTGTCAGGACGCTGTCTGCTCAGATTTGTGTTCATGTCATTTCTGGTGCTTTTCTCTCACAAATTTCTCCCTGTATGTAAAAAACAAACAAAAAAAAAATCTGCGACCTAATCTTCCATTTGAAGCTACTTGCCTTCATGTGCCAGGGCAGATATAAACAAGATGTCTCAAGATGGAATGCTAATTGGGTGATTGACCTAATTAAATCAAGAAAATGCATTAAAATGGCCAAAACAATGTGTTAAGAATGTGTCACTGCATGGCTGTCCATTTATATTACGTGTGTGTGTGTGTGTGTGTGTGTGTGTGTGTGTTGTGTGTGTGTGTGTGTGTGTGTGTGTGTGTGTGTGTGTGTGTGTGTGTGGGGTGTGTGTGTGTGTGTGTGTGTGTGTGTGTGTGTGTGCGCGCGTGTGTGGACTTGTATTTGTTACATTGTAAGGCCCATTTTTCCGACAATGGCTCCAATCCATGGCTCCTTGAGAGGCCCAAAGTCTGTCTTTTAAAAAGAAGAGATGTTTTGAGTTAGAAGTTAGGTTTAGGACTAAGGTATGAATTGAGTTTACGCATGTCCTGGTAATGAAGTCAATGCAAAGTGCAAGTGAAGATAGAAATACATTCTATATGGTTGGTTGGTTGGTTGGTTGGTTGGTTGGTTGGTTGGTTGGTTGGTTGGTTGTTGGTTGGTGGTTGGTTGGTTTGTTGGTTGGTTGGTTGGTTTGTTGGTTGGTTGGTTGGTTGGTTGGTTGGTTGGTAGAGTGTATGTGTAGAAATAGGACGGCTTGCTTGCATTGAGTGGGTGTATGTTTGCAAATTTGTGACCTGGAGGTGCAAAGTTATGGAGCTAAAACAAAGTTACTAGAGTGGCGAGAACAGTGGAAGGCCTTCCACCCTCAGCACCTAAGAACAGCAAAGAATAGGAGGATTCGGCTCTGGAAGGACACAAAAGCCACAGGTAGATAAAAGGAAACCTCACAGCAGCCAAACGCTCTTAAAGGAGAAGGGTCATCTGTGAAGCCCAGGTTCAGCAACCACCAGGCCAAAGAGCCCTGTGGTGAGACATGTATCACCGAACCCTCTGCACCACACACCACTGCTACAAATGTTTACTGCTGTATTTCTCTTTAATCCTGGGCTGAAATAATGTATTGCTACTCATAGTAGAGTTATACTTAGTGGAGTTGTATTAGTGTTAACTGTGCTCATTTCCTAATTGCGGATTACAAAGCATATTTATTTTTAGATAACTGAATATTTGACACCTTCATCATGATAGTCGTGTTTAAAATCTGATCTGATAATCAGGTCTGCTGCGTGGTCTGTTTTGTATGTACATGCTGTGATAATTGGAGTCGTCTCTGACCGAGCACCTGGAGAATCGCCTGTGTTACCTGTCAGCAGCTTGTTAGAGAGCTGAACGACCATGAAGAGCTTTCCCTGTCAGCTGTTCACCGTCTTTTTCTCTCCCCACGCCCCATTAAACCAGAGTTGTGTCAGCAACGAGCGCTGTAAAGGCCACCGTGACAGCTCAGCTTTCTGCCGATGTTTGGCAGAAGCCCTGACGCCAGTGAACGCCTCATCGCTCTCTGCTGTAGCCGCGTCCAACAGAGCGTGCTCGGAAACCCCGAGAACTTGAGCTTGATGTCAAACGTCACATGGATCAGCCAATATCTGACTTTGTTTGGATGGTAGAACATAACTGGTATCTGACATCTGCTTTATAATCGGTTATCTTTCTCACTTTCTGGGGTTAATTTCAGCCTCAGCCTCTGAGACATTTACAGGTGTCAGCAGATGGTGAAACCCAACAAATAGTTCTGGCTTCTATCGTTTGACATTTTTATTTTAATTCTGCTTACTACATTTTCATGTAGAATATTTCTTTTTAAAGATTTTGCAAACCTTTTTTCAAAGCCTTTTTTCATAGCTTCAGACAAGAAAACTGAAAAAAGACACCCTACAGGGTTTTCTTTCAGTTTATACATTTATAGGGGAAATAAAAGGGTGACCATTTAACATAAATTTGCTTAGAAGTGTTGCTGTGTATAATAGCTTATTGAACACTGTTCTCTCTCGTAGCTTGTTTGTTGTGTTCTTTGTTCCTTTGTGGAGCTAACTCAGACGCCAAATGGTCAAAAGCAAAGGTTTTAATCGCTGCATCAAAAAGGAGTTTGTACATTCAGGTTCAAACTCTGTGAAGTCATACACACACATGCACACACACACACTGAGTTATTAACAGGTTTCCTGAAGACTGATCCCATGGGAAATAGGGTTGTGCACAGTTCCTACACCACGTATTAATTAAGCGAGCAGGACGACAACGAAGCATTGTCCAGTGAGGGTTGGACCATTAATGAAGTCTGTGAAGCACAAGACAACACCTGTTGTCGGCCCAATACAGAGATGTTAGTTCTCTCTGTACTGACCTGTCTGTCTGTCTCACTGGGTGACTGAAGCCCTGCCTGGAAGGAGTCCTGGATAAAACAGATGCACAAATGAGAAGAGGCGTCGTTCACATTTTCCATCTGTTGACATTCTTCTATTTCATTTGTTGCCCAGTGTTTTCCTCTTTCGCTCTAGTTTCCTTTTACTTTGCTTCTTCATGTGTCTGCTGAACAACCCGTGCAGTCGCTCATAAAGTAGACTTAATGTCTGTCTTTTATTCTCCTTCTACATCCTCTTCTCCCCCATCAAAAGCAGTGAATTTTAAACAAATTCTCCATCAGCAAAGAGACACCTGACACCTGAGCCAAAGCCGGAGCTCAGGAGAGCCATCAAATATTGATAGCGTACCAACAACACAAACTCGCTGTGTTGCGACGCAGCCTGCTGAGCACCCACAACGGTCTAGACAGCGCTCCTGAAAGGCAGCGTCCAGATAAGAGCAGGTGCAAACAAACCTGGTGCCCTCACCAGGTAGGCGCAGAGGTCAGCGAGATAAATGTGTTTTCTCTGTGCATTTCGCCTTTTATATTCGAACTGCAGCTACATCTGCATCTGCATGCACTCCTTCAACAGTGTTGAAAATTCAGTAAAATCTAAAAGCAAAGAGTTTGAGAAAAGTGTCCAAACGGTGTGCATGCTCCTGGGAAAAAATATGGTTTTATAAGCAATTACTGTGTGGTTACATGGCTCCCTCTTGTGGATAAATTAGGAAGTCCATGCACCCAGGAAGCATTGGATTTGTTTTATGTTATAGGCTAACAGAAAACATTTCATAATTTAATAAATATATCAAAACTAATACATAGTTTTCTGTTTTGTTTTTAAAACCAGAGACTTGCATTCATTCCCCTTGATTTCTAGGTTTCTCTGTAATTGATACTGCAAGTTTCTCACAGCTTTGCAAATCAACAGAATGTAACTTTTACCCTTTCTTCTTTGCAAAACAGCTGAAGCTCAGTCAGACTGAACTGAGAGACTCTGTAAACATCAGTCAATACTCCAGTCATGTCACAGATTCTCAATTGGATTTAGGCCTAGATTTAATCTGAGCCGTTCTGGTCTCAAGTCTTTTGTTGCATGTATTCGGTTTTCTGTGCTTGCTGAATGTGGGATAGTGTGTTCAGGGTGATGTGCTACTTCTTGAAATTTTGGGATGCTTTAAACTGAGCATCTTCTTTCTCATATTTACTCGAGTAAACAGCAAATGGAAATTTTTCAAAAAAAAAATTCCAGCCTTCTGGCTGCATGTGTGATCAATTCTTTCTTTCCATCTCGGCGTAGATGGATGGCCGTGTCTTGTGTCCTTTGGTCTTTATGATGCAGTTCATTCTCTAAAGCTCGTTAACAGCTGGATTCATACTGAGATCTAGTCCACAAAGGTGGAAACTTTTCTGTATTTATTTTGGCAACTTCTGAAGATACTTGGTTGTGCAGGATTTTGCTTAGGTGAAAAAGCACACCATAATTTTCAGGTTTTTCTTTATAAAACGTCTTGAACACTGTGTTCTTTTCCGGTCACGTCACAATTATTCAGAACATTCCGAAAATACAAATAAAAGTTTCTCGGTGTACTATAATAAAATGAGGTTGCTTACTTTGCTTAACGTTCACACGGAAAATAATCACTCTGTCTCACCTTTCTGATTAGGTGAACGGCATGAACATCGAGGGCATGAGGCATACAGAGGTAGTGGCCTTCATAAAGAAAGGGGGAGAGGAGACCTGGCTGCTGGTGGTGGATCCAGAAACGGACGAAGACTTCAAGAGAAGAGAAGTGATCCCCACGATCAGCCACGTCAAAGGTGGGAAAGGCTGAACGCTGAACGTATTTGAAGTTTTAACAGCTGCAAAATTCATGTCAAGTCATCAAACATGAAAAGATTAAAAAATAAACAAGTAACATTGTCCTGCAATTAGATTCATACAAATTAATGGGCAGGGTATTTGATTTTAAACACTGGAGTAAAAATAAACATACTTTTGTGTTTTGTCTTCTTTGTGATTTTTTTTCCTAGATTATGATGGTCCTTCCATATCCAATGGATCGCCCAGCCCTCAGGTCAACGGCAGCTCCACCACGCAGTCCTTCAGGTCGACGCGCTCAGACCTCAGCAGCCAGGGGAACAGCACGCAGGTCGGTGTGGACGCTCGCACAGGCTGTACGCTTAAGAGTCTGAGTCCTAAACGCTCACGACCTTTCGTTTCATTTTCTCTGACGCATAGCTGGCAGACGACGACGGCAGCCAGCTCATGGACCCTTTCGCTGAGATCGGTCTGAGACTCGCTGCCACAGCGGCAGAGGAAAAGATGAAACTCCATGCCAAGGAGAAGAAGAAAGCACCACAGATGGACTGGATGAAGAAATACGAGCTGTTCAGTAATTTCTAAGAGTAGTTTCTTGCCTTGCGAGACTTTGTGAAAGGCATTTCTTAAAAATCAAACTTCTCTGAAAAAGACGTTTTTCCTATAGGCAGATGAGAATAATCCCGACACGTGAGGGACACATTTTTCTCTTTTCTCAACACTTTTTCTCTCCATCAACTATTTGATTCACCCTCCTCCTCTGAGAGACTCGAAATAGCAGCTATTTTTATATTTAAAATTCATAAACAAGAATTAATAAGCAGCATCCTGTTATGGAAAACCTTCTAAAGAGGTTACTGGACACTGTGACATGAACGATGGTGGACTTCGTGGGAGTTTATATTTTTTCGAATCAGCCTGAGGACGCCTGAAGCAGGCAGGAGAATCACTGTGAAAGACTCTGCACCTCCATCCCATGCAGACAGAACGCTGTGTATTCTGTCTTACATGTATTTTTACATCAAGTATATCATCATTACTCATCATTGTCGTTAACGTACGCCCGTTTGTGAAACATAAAATAATTCAAAGAACTTCTTCCTGCTCTAATCACCGATATCTCCTTATCTGAAGACAAAGGGAGTGACCACTATGGGAAGAACAGGAAGGCGCTCGAGGTTCATAGAAGGGATGTGTTTTAATGTTTAACACAAAGCAAACACTGTTCTGAATTACACACCTTTCTGAGTCACATTTAGATAATTCATCTCTTTAATTTCAGAGAAACATTTAGCAGAAGCTGGCGAGAGAATGGCATAATCAGAAAAATGGTTTAATGTGAAGGCTGTTTTATGAGTTCAAACATATTTTGTTTGAATTTTTGTTTGTTTATCAAAGAACTTGTGGAGGCAACATTTAACTGCTGGCCAAGTAGCATTCTACTAATAATTCAGTATTAAGTATTATTTTTTTCTTTTATATCAGTAGATTTATGAAGCAGATATGATTGTGAAGGCTACACCTTTTTATTCATTACTAGACTATCTGGAAAGTTTTAGATTGTAATAGTACATTAGGAGTGTTTTTACAACATGTGGGAAAAGCCTTAAAATAAATTTGAAATTTAACGAGTTTTATGAAGTTTAATTTCCAGTGGATGAGTTTCTGTTTCATTGCTATGTGTAAATATGTCATAACACAGTTACTCATTTCTGGGCTGGAGGGGAAGCCATAATTATCACGCCTTTATTCCCTGTGATGGCTAAAATGCAGCAAAGACCTTTGGGTAACCAGGTCTGCCTAACAATCATTAGACTCCTATCTACTTATTTTAAATGCCTGGATATTCAAAAACAAAAACATTGTTGGCCTCACTAAGGGGACAATGGGTCACCTTAGGCTTTTTCAGCAAGGCAATGTTCTCATTTCTGAGTTGACATTGTCAACCCAGAAATGGTTTACTAGACACAAAGTCAACCCTTTCTTTGCTAATTCAGTTTACAGACAAAACAAACTGAACTGTGCATCTTTCAAACTTTGTGAAATGTTGCAGCAAAAGAGCAATATAATAATATTTGGGATTTTCAGAATATTTCAGTGAGATTTTGCTTTTACAATTGAGTGGAATTCATTTTAAGGCTTTTCACACCTGTTTACAAAAATTTTAATGTGATGCGACGCTTAGTAGCAATAACAAAACTGTCATGAATAGTGAGGGATCAATCCGACTTTTACTAGTCGAGACAGATTTCTGGCTTTCTTTGATTTTTCACTTGCTAATTCTTTACAAGAATTACAAAATTGGCCCTGTAGGTGAATCAAAACCTTTACTTCATGTAATCTTTACTAAACCCAAAGATACTGTGTGATGTCGTTTAGGACTAAAAAGGTGCACACCTTCAGATTTGATGTTTATTTAATAGAAAAAAAGTGAATATTTCAATATGAAGCCGGTCAATCAGAGCGAATTGAATAATTTCTATCAGTAGCTGATTGACTAGAGCATAGCAGGTCTTATAAACAAACTTACTCTTATCACGTAAGTCTTCAATCTAATTAGCCTTTATCGTAGGGTCAAACATTTCATTTCTGTAAATGAATAAAGTCTTTGGACAGAGGTTAAAGTTGAACGGAAACCGACTCTCTTCTAGTATCAGCTCAGATACAACATGGCAGCGTGTTGGTCAGGGAGAGCTGGAGAAGCTCACAAGGTCGGAGGTGTTTCAGGAAAGACACAGGGAGCCACAGACATTACAGAGGATTACTATGCATATAGGATCAGCTGTCATACACATGCTTGTATGTGGAAAAGGTAAACATGCAATGCATTAGGGTAATTAGCGTTAGCTCTATACTCTGACAGTCTGGAAAGCAATCTGTGTTACAGATGTACATAAGTGTCAAGTCTCATTTTTTGCAATAAAGTGAAACAAAGGCTTCTTTTGAATTTACCAAAGTGGTGCATTCATTCACCTTTTACAGGGAAATTGCCGGATTTGGGATTTTCCATCCCTCATTTCTCCTCTATTGGTCTTTTTTTTTTTTTTTTTTTGTTCCACTGTCCCTCGTTTGCTCCCGTTTCCTCTCAGCCCCCCCTTTATGTCTCCCTCTCGGTGAGGATTATGTTGGCGTACAGTTTCAGGTTCGGCCTGTTCTCACAATTCTTCCACTAGCCAGCTGCTGTGAGGACACACAGGGGTTACACGGGGGTCAGAAGCGGGTTTGTGGCCATGTGAGAAAGCTTGCAGTGGTTTGTGTGTGTCTTTATTGGATGCAAAGAGAAGGCTGTAGTCTTTGTCTTCTCTGATTCTGGATCCTCTAAAATACACAAAGCTTTCATGAAATTTTTTGGATCATTCAAGTAGTTTAAAAACTTTTTGGATAGATTAAAAAAATGTCATAGTTTCTGGATTTTGCTGCAGTTTAGTACAGTATTTCTCAGGTATTAGTTCAAGTTTTATGCAGACGCCTACAGTATTTATTAAGTATAGCATAAATATATGTATTTATCTTACTTTAAATAGTAAATGACTATTTACTGTAGCTTATTTTTTGCTAAAATATTACAGACTTCTTCTTCACCAGCCATAAGTTACAGATTTACTACTATATTGGCATCTTACGCTCACAATAAGTATTGGGCCTTACAACCTATAAGCAGGAACATGCACAGATAGGCACCAGGGGGTGCTAGAGCACCTGCCATTTACCCCCTGTACAAAAAGTGCCCTTCTGAAACTGGTTAATATTTTTTCAGTGTGCAGTGTGGTCCCAAAGGTAGCAATTGCAGATTCAAAGTCTACATAACCAGAGTCCCACATTTTTGCCATTTAGCCCAACAAGAAAAGACTGCACTAAAAAAAACACAACTTGGTTTTGAGTTCATTTTTTTTAAACATCTGCATCAGACAGGACGTGGCTATTGATTTGAAATAGGTTAATATTCATAATGTACAAGCTGTGTCTGCAATTGATCTCGCACAACTAAGGAAGCTGGCGGTTCCAGGTGCTGCACAATGAAACATTCCTGGAAATGAACCTCATTACAACTGTGAAGCATGTTGTCATGACACATCAGGACACGTCCAAGCGTGGAGGTGGATGTGTCCTGATTTGGGATCCTGCAAGATGACTTGAAACAGGCTGTACCTACTTAAATGAAACTCCTCAATCACTTCACAGCTGATAGTGAGGAGTGTGGAAATTTTCTTCTGACTTTCAAAAGCTGGTAAGATGACCACGATAACCCTCTTACTGAAGTTATTTCAACCAAAGAGGACAACACTAGCTGTTAGGATGTAAAGCAGAGCTGATGGGAGATGATGCATCTCTGGCAGTGGCTGAGTCAGAGGTCATGTAGACCCTGGACATGTTGCTAGTGCATCACCATGATCCTTCTTATGGAATAACAATTTTTGTTATAAATGTAAGCATTTTTGTTGTTGGTTTTTTTTTTTTTGTGTGTGTGTGTGTGTGTGTGTGTGCGTGCGTGCGTGCGTGTGTGTGTGACAAAAAGCAACACATTTTCACAGTGGCTTTCAGACTTTTGAAGGTGCATCTGAGTTCTAACTTAAATTGGTATTTTTGTCCACAGCAGCACATTGTGTTGCATTTGCTTCAAAATAGAGGAAAAGGAGGACAAAGGCAACAATGGTGAGTCTCAAGAAGACATCTGTAGCAAATGAAAAGCGTGTGAAAGACATTTTATTCAAAAAGAAGAAACAAAATTCCAGCAAAGACCTAAGCAGACCCTCTGGATAGCATCATGATGCTGCCACTGCCGTGTTTCAGACTGGCAATGATGTAATCAAGCTTCAATTGTTTTCTTCCCTACTTGTAAGTAAACCAATAACTTATGTTTTAGTCTCAAAGGTATTTTTCATAAATTTATCAAAAGGAAAGGGGGAAAAAAAAGTTTTTGAAAGAGGCTACTGGTACTAAAAACACAAATTCTTCCTCTATTAAATATGTGAATCTTTAATTTATGATTTATTCATAGGTCAAATTAAGATAAAAAAAAAGATTTTGGTAGCAGACTGTAAACAGGTGAAAAATCAGTTCAAATAAAAGCTTTGAAATATTTTAGGAAGTATAAAGATATATTGATGCACATTACTGAAAATATTACAAAGTATTACAATGCTACTAGTGACTGGAGAAGAAAATGCTACTAATGGTATATTTATTAAGCTCTTATCTAAATTATCCCTATAATCAGTAGCTCAGCCAGAGTCAACATATTTATTACCTTTTAGTGCTTAATTTTCTATAACAACACACATTACAACAGCTAATAAGCTACTGTTCGTCCACTAGGAGGCACAAATCAGCGTTTCAAATCCAGGAAGTGGGACAAACCTTTCTAGCATGAGGTTGTGGTTACATAGGGCCCTACCTGAGCTTGCTCAAAATGCAACTCCACACGTGGCCACATTGTCAACCTCCCTGGAGGTTATGGCGAGGCCGAGCCATGACGCCAGCACATCAAAGGACAGCCCCAGTTCAAAGCAGTCTGCAATTTCAGAGCAGTAAAAGCAAGAGAACGGAGGCAGAGAATAGAGCCACAGGTGGGCACTTTCTGTTTAGCCTGCCTCGGTTGTTGCACGCAGTTCTGACTTCCTATTGATGATAGATGATTGCTTGGCTTAAACCCAAGGTTTTCCACCCTCTTGCGTCCTTCCAAACTTTCATTTAAGTAGCCTGTACTACCTTTTAAGGGTTATAACTTTTGGGACTCATTGTGATTATGTTTCTCCTGCGTCCTTTGATCCTTCACAGTATCACACGCACACAAACACACACCTCAGCACCTTAATCCTCCTCAAGAGTGGCATCAATTTACCAGTGCCAGGGCTGCCTGGGATGCCTGAGAGAAGAGAGCGAGAGAGAGAGAGAGAAAGAGAGGGAGGGAAACCAGAGGCTGACGGGGAGGGGAAAGGCAAAAAAAAAAAAAAAAATGGTGGCAGGGGGCGAAGGGGTGCGTCTCCAAGGCAACTGTGTTTTTGTTAGCGCTTGTGAGTCAGACGAGCGGTGAGTCACAGTCAGGAGGAAACACACACACACACGCACACACAGTCGCATTCATACTCACTCCCCACTCAGTCAAAGAGAAGCCAAATAAGGACAGCTACATGCACAGAGACAGGGCAAGTAGGTCGAAAACGAAACACTCAGAAGGCGATGGGATGGACAATTAGTTCAGATTAAAAAGAAAATAAATAGGGAAATATGAGGGAAAAGATAAAGATTCCAGTTGAAATGTGTGGGAAAGAGAAATGGAGGATCAAAGCGAAGGGAAACTGGGGATCCAAAGGGCATGAGTGCAGGCACATACCCTCTCCAAAGAGCAACTATCACATGGGTGGGGGAAGAGGAAACGCGCAGGGCCACACCCAGTTTGTGCACACCTTGGATTAACTTGCTAAGCCGCCTATTTATTGTCTGACGCCAACACACTCAGAGTGGCGGCCTCATTACGCGGTAAAAGTTTGCATTACTTGGCTTCCCTGAGGGAAAAGAAAGTTTTATCGCTTCTTTTACTTTTTCAGACTACACAAGCAGCGTGGCAGTGCTTACGTTTTGAGAAAGCAAGCAGATGATTAAACTGGTGTTCATCGCATCTGAGGTCTGTGACTGGTTTACGTTCCCGCAGCTAATGGCTGGTGATCCAGCGTAGTAAAAAAAGGCCTTTAGGTTGCAGATATGTCTGGATGTGTTTTCACAAATGAGTCCACAGTTTTCGTTTTGAGTCGACTGTGATTTCCATTTTCCAATGACACTGAGTGTTTTGGTGTCCACTGACCTCAACCGAGAGGCAGATTACAGCACACACTGCCTTTTATTCTTCTTGAAAATGTGGGTGTGCATGCGCTTTTTGGGTTTCTTTTTACTATATTGTAAAAGTTGACATACTTCAAGTTGACAACGCTCCATGTTGCTAACTATAAACTTTCCTTCTTCTCTCAGTCATCTTCTTTTAATTTAGCTCTGAGCTTTGATACTGCAGCCATAAATATTGCTCCTATGTAATTTACAATAGCACAGTATGTTCTTAGAATCCAGTAGTCAAATAAAGCTCTTGCAAAATGTGGAACTTTCCCCCTGTTTGCATTCTCTTTCTATAACTCTCGAATGGCTGAAGTTCAGCTCAGAGCAGCCAATCAGAGAGCCAGACTGATGATCCTTCTTGTCAAGTTTATCTAAACACAGATAACGCGCTAGAAATATCACCTGTTCCCTAACAGCCGTGGGCTGGTGCATTCCTTTCCTTTCTTTTCTTTTCTATTCTTGAGTGGAAGTTGATAAAACTTTCGCGAGGAGGCCTTGCAAAAGTATTCAACCCCGCCTGAAATGTCTACAACAGGAAAGTCGAATGTGATTTATTTCATAGACCGACACAAAGTAGGAGTTCCTAAAATTAAAGAAATATATGGTCGTTGTTTTTTTTTTTACATGTGTTTGTATTTAGAGCCTTTAGTCGGTCTAAATAGCTTACCTAAAAACTGTACTCAACAGGATTGCTGCAAAATCAACTTTGTTCAGTTAAAGGGATTAAAGTAAAAAAACTGGCACCAATTATTATAAAGACAAAAAAAAAACAGAAAAAGTTGACAGGGTGGGAGATTATACATTCGTTTTCAACCCCATTTACTCTGTTGTCCCTAACAAAACAGTAAACAACAGTCTCCGGGTATGATGCCCCTTCTCCACAACCAAGAGCAGCAAGCGGGGAAAGCATAGCATAGATTTATTTTTAGGCTTTACGGGGACGACAAAAGAATTGAGAGGTCCCTCCTAAGTGGGGAGACCAGCTGGGGAAAATATGCTTCCATGACTGATGCTTGGGCCGCGAGGAGCTAACGCGGGAGGGTGGAATGTGGTGTGGAGCTGTAAAAGGAATTGAAAAGAGTGTGGGTTGCCTGTTAGCGATCGAGTGATTA